TTTTATCAGCTTCAGATGTAGTGTGTTAACATTTGCAATGATAAATTAAATTGAATTCGCTATTTTCATTACATTTCTTGATTTCTGTAGGTAATGTCTTCACTTCATTTTCCAGGTTATTTGGGAGATCTAAATGGTTTTGATTCTGATGCTGTAGACAATCCTTGGCAGTTTTCTTCTTGTTTCAGCTCTGGTAAGTCCATAGTACATATAGGGATTCTCAAGAGGTTTTATGAATTCAGACCAGCAATATTCGCTTCTGGGTGAAATGAATTCTTGGATTATTATACCTTTATAACCCATTGACAGTATTAATATACATTAATAAAATCGCTATATGAATCTCAGACAGATTCCAAGAAGTCGAAGAATCAGATTAAAGTATTCAATGGCCTAAACCCTTCGTACTTCGTACTTTGGTTTCCAATCTTTCACTGCTTACTAAATACAGATGTTGGCAATTTATGTACAATTCCAATTTGATTTGGCTTATATTTCCTGATATATTTACGAGTAAATTTGTGAGTCTTGCTGAGTTGATATTTTAAAAATGATGAGTATTAAAATCCACGAGTCTATAGTATAATATTGTAATCGCCTTCTTTCCGATATCATGATCGAGGAATTTAAAGTTATCAATAACTTGATCTTCTTAAAACCCCCTATATAGATATTATATTCAATAGATATAGTGCTTGCTAGTTCATAGTATTAATGATTTAATTCATCGTAAATTGTTGAAAGGTAATGTAGCTATCCTTATAGGGATGCTCCGGCGAACTGGCAATTTGCATCACCTTATTCTCACTTACAACTGCGGTCATGACTTCGCAGGCAAAACAGATCCAATATTTTTGCATGGAAGTTTTTTTGGTCTTGGGTACGCTCAGATCAAAAATATCAGATTCTCACAGGTTCTAAGTTGAAGGTAGATGCGTTGTCAAACCCCGGAGTATGAAATGTGTTCGGTTTTCAAGGTTATATTATACCTTCAAGTCAAGGTCGGTCGGACCTCTTGTAGAGAATATATAATTGGTATACAATTTGTTCTCGTTTGACTTATTGTCTTCATTCTATTATTCTGTATTTCAGGACCTGTAGAAAATGGGTGCAATATATTTTCTGATATACCAAGTGATCCTGAACAGGATCTCGAAGATGACCTATTCGACGATGATATCACGTCAGCTATTAGGATATTTGATCTAGACCTATATAATATTGGCAGGTAGGTCTGTTAAAAAAATTCGTCTTATGAAATTGAACCTTTTTTCACCTTGACGAAGAACAGGGAATGGTCTGGGTCAATGCTCGATGAGTAGGGTAAACCCGTGGTTTCATTGTATGCAATGATTCTTGAAGTCGGACCAAACGGGTATTTTATGTATCAAAAATTGTTTTCAATGTTATTTGTTTTCTTTCAGATCTGAAAGTTATGTCTTTGGTGAGGATATACAAAGTCAGTTTAACTGTAATGAAACTAGATTGAGAAAGTTGTGTACACCCGAAATGGACGTGATCAAACTCCAAACAGAGAAATTCAAAAAATTCTTCGACAATACCGTTGTGCGATGTCCTTTGACTAACAATCCAACCATTTGTTTGATAAAATACGCATATTATAAAGATCTTAAGGAAAAACTGACACCAACTACGAAATGTAGCAATGTTTCTGATTTAATTTCCTATAGAAACAAGGCTACAGAAAGGAAAGTACTTAATAGATCTCTTACGCATAATTCAGACTCGTCCACGAAAAATGGAAAAAAGAACACTAAAGGTGAAATGAAATCTACATCTGTTGTCAAAGATGTCAAAAGTGACACCCGTCAAAATAAAGGACAAAATTCTAAATATTCCCTTCAACAGTCTAGTAGCTGTCCAAGTCGTCTGACAGCTGATACGAATGAAGCGTCTTCAAGTCAAAATAATAACAACAATAACAACAACAATCAGGTGAATAATAATATAAACAATATCAAGAAACGTCAATCACATATGTCAGTCCAAGTTGTGCTCAAAAAGGCCATGTTAACAAGTTTAAGTGGAAAAAAATCATCGAAGCTTGAAAGTTTCAAAATCCGAACACCAAGTACTTCTTCGCAGGAGAGTAAAAGTACTAACTCCAAGTCCATTTCAGCGGTAGCTTCATCTAAATATGCTTTCAATGACGGCGATTCCAATTGACCACGGAGGAAAGTATAAAAAATGTGAAATTGTTCTGATGTGTAATTTTGTGTGAGAATTTTCTAGCAGTGGTTGAACACATTAAAATGTGACAAGTTCCTCTGGAGCCGAACGTGAAAGAAGTGTTAGAATCCTGGTTGCCATCTCTTATCTCAGGAAATTTTCACTCATTTGCTAGTCACAATTTCTTGTAAGGTAGTGATAGAAATATTACTGGGAATAAAAGAACTATTGTTATGAAACCTAAGAATGTCTATTGTAGCTTTGTACCAATACCCCTTTCATAATATTGTCAACATAAACATGGGGAAGGCATTATTCCGACAAAATTTCAATAAGCTATTGAGAGTCTATTCAGTCTTGTGTATATTGTACTCAAACTGTATTGTGTGCTGTGATAATTTTGTAAACTGCTTTGCTTACTTGAAGCAGATTTTAAGAAATGTAATGCTAGTATTGTGGAAGTGATGGGATTATTTTGTGTGTGTTATGGAGCTGTTGGTTGATTGTGCGTTCGTGATGATGTCTTGAGTCTGGTAAGACATCATCGTTAATGACCAAAGTATATTGTAGACTCGATGGTGATTGGTGAAATTATTAAGTGTGTTAATATGAAATGCAGTTGACAATGTTGGAACACATTCTGGTGGCGTGTGCTGAAAAATGTTAAGTTGCTTTCGTGATGTATGAAAAACCGCTTGAGAGGTCTGTTCTTTCCGCAAATTCAAAGGGGATTTAAAATTATTGTTATTTTGTTTTTAATCGTTTGTTACTAGTTATTGCAGTTGTTATCTCTTAATTGCCATATTATTTGGCCTGTTATTAGCTGTAATCTGAATTTTGATTACGTGATTCTTTGTGCGTTATTTTGTTCACATGCGTTTTGTTTTAGAGCTAATGGGTGTTATACCCTTTTTATCGAGCTTTCCTAATCGATTATTATTTCAAAGAGCATTATGCTTTGGTGATTAGATAAAAAAAAATTGTGATGGTACGTGAAAATATGAAACTGTGAAATTGTGCTTGTTATTGTTCTTTGTTATCTTTTGTCATTTTATCACTATAAGATATACTATAATAAAGATGACAGATTGTTGAAGGTTTTTGTTGTAAAATGGGTCTTTTCAAACCGTAACCAAGCTGCACTAAGGATATCCAAAATCAATTCAAGCAGTTATTATTAGTTTTTTTACACCGGATATGGATGTATCGACTTTCACGTCCAGCGAAGGCGAAAAGGTTTCCTTTCAACAAGCCGTCGTAGATCACTTTTTACTACTTTGTGTAGATGGAACATATCGTTCAAACATTTATAAAAAATAAAGTTTTATCCTGCTTTTGAGTAGGATGAAACAATAATTCAGACCTTTTGCAGGCATAAATATTTTACGTATTGCAATTTTCACAAGACCTTAGTTTTAAGCAAATCATGCACTCAAATCCTTAAGAAAAACTTTCAATACAATATGTTGTGCTTCCAATGTCACCATAGGTGACTCATCATAGTTATAATCATCTCTTCAATCTCTAGCTCGACTTAATAATTTTTGGAAAGGCTAGAATATTTCAACAAAGCCTTAAAATCATATTTAAATCAATTTCTTCTAAGCCTAAGGAATTAACTGTGGGAAATGTAAGGGTGGCTCGGTTTTCTCCCTTGAAATATACAGTCTTGGGTTGTACTTCCTATTGTTTGCATTCGCTTTCGTCATGTAGCGCATTCAATTTGGTAGCGTAACACTGCTCTCTGAAGCGATTCGTTGCACACTGCGCTATAACCCGGTTGTGGTATAAACCATTGCACCCCCAACAACCTATTCCTACTATTTCAAGATGAATCAACATGACCAAAAGATGACAAACGAAAATGAAGCTTCAATTGTACTTTATGGTAGTGTTATTTCGAAGAATGTGGCAGACGGATGTTGAGAATTCGAAATATGGCTGTGCATCGGCGGGCACGATTCAGAAAGCATCAACACGAACAAAATAAATGTCAATTAATAGCAGTTTTTCCCATATTGTAGACCGGATGCGAGTGTGCAAATTGCTACTGCGCATGCAAGTCACACTCGCTGTCGGAAAGCGCGATGGATAACCCGCTTCCGTTAAAGCGAGCTGAAATTGTGTGAAAAGGGGTTTCGTTAAAGCGATTTGAGATCGGTTCAAAGCCGTTTCAGTATGACGGGTTGATGCGCTCTAAGATTTTAAAGCGCATTCAATCCACTTTAAACCGTCGCTAGTGTGAACCGACTATAGAAACATCAGATGGTACTGACTTACTCTGTTAAAGAAAAAGGCGAATATACAAATATTATGCCCCCATGGGATACAAGAAAGATCAATACATATATAGAAATATAAGAAATAAGCACGTATGTCATTTTCAGTTTATTATTTTATAAGACTTGAGATTTGGAAACCTTTTCCCAATTTTAAAGGGACAGATTCGCCATTTTCGGGTGATGATATGGGTCTTGAATATATATCTTCAGACTTACTAGATATTTCCGAAAATAGCATAATTTTGAAGAAATTATCTCAAACTATCTATATATGTCTTTTCTATATAAGGCAAAGTCTCAAGTCTCTTACAAATGCGGATAATTCTGGACACACATAGATTTGAAGTCTTAAATTGTGAAGCTGAGCTGTGATCAATGTTACTGAATAGTTAGCCAAAAAATTCCAGTTTCTGAAACTCATGTACAATGGCAAACCTTTCCCTTTAACACACAAGTAACAGACAGATCGAGTAATAAATAGTTAAAATATGTTACAAAATACAAAAAAGCGATCTTTCTGGTTGAAGCTCACACTTCAGGATAAGCGGAAGCCACTTGAAGACCATGTATATGAGGAATATCGTAGTTCTGAATTCTGAAATCTTGACCTTCCAAAGTGAATTTACAGGCTCTGTTTGGTTCAGATAAAATACATATTGTAGATAAAGCCATATCAAATTCAGGACTGGTACCGATAAAAAATGAGCTGATCGGTTTCCATTTCCCATCCCAAGTGAAGGTAAACTCTACCAAAAATGGCTACAATTAAAAATATAAAGGATTTAAATGCAGTGTGGTTACCATAATCAATATAGTGAATGGTTATACAGTTATTTGTGCAATTCATAAATAGCCACCAAGTTCGCTTCTTCGGAAACGTTGATCAAGTAGCTCTAACCTCCACCAAAATGTTTTTTTTTTAATTTTAAGACTATTTTCGACTTGGTATTCATAGCTGCAAAGGTTTGGCTTTAAAAAAAAGTCGATTTTAATTAAATTACCTCTTTCTTATTAATGTAGCCTTTGTAGTCAATTCGGCCACTAGATTCTAATTTATGAAATCTGACCCAATTGTGAAAACCAGAAACCGAGGAACCTTTAAATTCTCCAAGAAAAATATGTTCAAAGCCACAGCTATTAGTTATTCCACCACTCTTTCTGGAATATCTATGGAACCAAAGTTCTTGAAGTTTACTTTTAAAAGCAACTTGGCCGGCAGCAATATGGTCTGAAGTAGAATAGTATTTGAAAACAGGATTATAATGGAATAAACTTCTTAAGAGTCCAAAAAAAAAACTGCGATTTTAAAAGAAGTCGATTTTGGCTTGTGTATTGAGAAGGCATATTAGAAGAACAGCCCTATTACTTGGGTACTTACTATTATCCACCAAATATTTATTCGCTATTTGCATAACTGAGGTATTTAATACTGTATTAAGGAAAGCATCAACATCAGTTTGGTAGGCAGCATCGCTGGTTTCTCTGATAGATTCACTAGTGTGGTAATTATCCCATAAATCTAACATGGCCTTATATGTTGGTCCATTTAATTTAGCTTCGTTCACAAAAGTGAAAAACCTGGAAAAGCATTTTGTCAAATATACTACACTACACAATATTTTAGATAGATATTAGGCCAGGCCATTTATTTTCTCGTTTTACGGACTTTTTCTGGAACAAAATTTGTACGGAGGGCAAGAGAAAAAATAAAACCTTTGAAAGCCAGAATTTTCCTAATTTCTCAGTATTTGTTATTTGATCAAAAATCATATATTTTGTTAATAGTGGAAGTTTCTGATTTTCTATTCATCAGGAATGAAGGTCGGATTTTTTTTTCCAGCGGATCTGATTTATTTCTTTTTTATGGAAAATTGAGGTAAGAGTGTCCTTAAAACAAGAAAAAAATTGGTCTGGCCTTATTGACTATATTAATTTAACAGCAATGACTATCGTCAAGGGTAACAGAAGGATGTGATACAAGGGAAACCATAATAGACGGAAATATATGTCAATTGTTCCAAAGATGACAAGAATTTTCAACATTGATACTCACGGTGTAGTAGCATGATCGCCACCTGGTCCCCGAGCTGTATGACCCTGATAGTTAACTTTGAGATCAGCTGGACCGAAGCGATGAATATCAGCATCCCATAGTGTCTGAGCTATACCAGAAAAGCTTCCAGTGTGACCAGGATGATTTGTTATGTGGTTATGGTTTCCGCCTATAACGTAACACGTAATACAATGTATGTAATTTATGACCATTTAATTATCTTCTGAGGTGCGCAGTGTGATGACGGATTTCCAAGGACGGTCTCATCTGGGATAAGACCCGGGTTTCACTCCTTAAAATATCCCTATATTTCAATAAAAATTTCATAAATGAATAATATCAAATGACGTATGAAACTAGGAACTTACCATGACATTCTGTGTTGTAATCCGAGCAACAATCATGGTATTTACTACAAGCATAGTTACATTGACAGTTAAAACTGTTATCTAAATGCTTATTACATCGACCAACACAACTATCTGAAAAATATACCTATAAATATGTATAAAGATTGAAGGTAAAATAACATACTTATACAGCAATTCTCAGATAATGAGACAGCTACACGCAACCTAACTTGCATTCCACAAGTCAAATACTAGTGAGGTGGATGTGGATATGAAACGAGTCAATGCCTGATTCATTGAACAGTATGAACGAAGTCAGGTATCATAGTTTAGTCTCCAGAAATTACAAACAATTTACATTACCACTGATACTTCTAGAACACCTATTCAGAATGATGGTTTTGTTTTTAGAAACTACGAACAAATGTATTGTCCAATAATATTAGTTTTGATACTTGATTTCGTCATATTTTACCTAATGTGATCACTGCTCGCGAGATACATATGATCAATTTGTGTAAAACATCATTAGAATTTCTTTGAAGTGGATGCAATATCTGCAACAGCGACTTGCAAAAAATATTTACATTCTGAACAAACTTATCAGATAATGTTACCTGAAACAACTGCATGAAACAGATATAAACTAACAATTGACAAGACTAGTAGCTTCAACATGGTGGAAGTAAATACTTCTAATTTCTGAAACCTTCACCGTTTTATTCTGTCTTATCATAAATTAACCCACAAGATAAGCACTGGCTTCCTTTGTCCGAGTCACGTTTTTCTGCAAATTTTTAGTACTTTGGTTTTAACTGAACTCAATCCCTGCCATACAAAACTCAGATTAGAGACCCAAACCAGACTTGCTTGATAAGAAAGCAGAAAAGATGAAATTAATGGCTCAGTCAATATCTAAACCTGATTATTATGTAATGTAACGTGTTTAAAACGTCTACCAAATTTAAAATCATAATAATTGTTAGAGAAAGGATATTGTAATCCGGTCTGAAACAACGTTTAGTTTTTTTTTTTGGGTGGGGGGGGGTTTGTTTTTCTGCAGAATGGGATACAAGGCACTTTGTGTGATAAAGAGTTCCTCATCTCCCCACGGTCTTCAAACTATTTTATCCACACTATCAAGGACACAAATTTGTTGTCGTTTGTCGTTTGTTTGAGTGGCCGTCTCACTTAAAGTAAACGTTACCTCGTCATGTTAAGAAGACCCTGGAAGGCCAAATACCACAAATTGGTAAAGTAGGTAAGTCCTGTATTGGAAAGTGAAATTGACTTCAATTCCCAAGAATGGCTGTCCTGTAAAGTCCAAGCTACAAGTCGACAATATGAGATGAGCTTCAGCCAATAAGAAGGACACAACAGCTGGGGATAGTGCTTTAAAATTATGTTCGTATAGAGAAAGGAGAGGGGGGACAGAATACAAAGCATACATAGACACGTGGTAATGCTGTGGTAATTGTGGTAATCATGTCTGTCAGTCACAGTTGGAATAGATTTTTCAGAGTGTATGCTACTTGTATGTTAAATGACCGATGAAGAATATATTATATTAGGCGATTAAGTTAAACCTAACAACCAGTGGGTTAGTATTTGAAGGAGGTCTATGGTCACCGTTATATCAAGGCAGAATACTTAGCGGTCAAGGCTTCTACAGCTGCTCTGTTGCGTGAAACACAAACAAAGCACTGTCAGGAGTTCTGCAACTCATTAAATGAGAAGACCAACCTAAGATCTGTCTGGGGTAAAATAGACTCAATGCTTGGTAAAAAATCTAATTCTTCCATTCCAACTCTTTGTTACAGGGATTCCACAGAATACAGCAATGAAGGAAAAGCCAATTTGTTAGCCAAATGTTATGCTGACGGCAGTGCTGATACCAACCATACCAAAGAATTTCTAAAGAACAAGAAGACCTTCTACACCAACCACACTCCAATTCATCACTCGCCCTTAGAGGACGAACGGGATCTTAACGCTCCCTTCACCCTCGATGAGCTGAAGAAAGCACTGTACAGTAAGAAAGACAGCGCTACTGGTGAAGATAATATCAAGTACAGCATGTTAAAGGAGTAACCAATGGAAGCGTCTACAGTTCTACTAGAATTATTCAACAAATCATGGTATAATGGTACAATTCCGGAAAGTTGGAAAACGGCAATGGTCATTCCTCTACCAAAACCGCAGAAAGATAAAAGTCAATGCAGTTCATACAGGCCTATTTCTCTGACCTCGACTCTATGTAAAACATTTGAAAACGATGGTCAACAATAGACTTAGATACCACTGTGAACTAAATGGTCTTATCGATCCCAACCAAAGCGGCTACAGAGAGAAACGGTCAACAATGGATCAAATCGTTCGACTTCAACACGACATGGCCGCCCAACTCGGAAAGAAGAACTACTTCAGCGCAGTATTCCTGGATCTGTCCAAGGCCTTTGACTTAGTCTGGGTTGATGGTTTGCTTTTTAAACTTAATAAACTTGGCATTCGGGATCGCATGTTCAGGTGGATCCAAGACTTCTTTAGGGATCGCCAGATACAAGTGAACGTCGCCAATTCTCTCAGCGAGAAGCACTCGTTGGAGAATGGCACCCCGCAAGGCTCTGTTATTAGCCCTACCCTCTTCAGAATTATGATCAATGACCTGGCCCTGGATTATGTAAAGCATATAGAGCTCTCGGTTAGCACGGCTCTATATGCAGATTACAGTTCGATATGGACTGGTCACACTGACCTCAATAAAGTTAAATGGCGTATGCAAACTGCTTTGAACCAAGTTGCTAAATGGGCAAACGACTGGGGTTTATTATTTCGGAAGCTAAAACCGTCGGTTTGTTCTGCAGCAGAAAGAAAGATCACGACAGTATTGACCTTAGACTGAATGGTGTGAAGATTAAGCATGAGAATTCAGTAAGGTTCCTGGGAGTACACTTTGACAAGTGTCTGACTTGGAGTAAGCACATTGACTATATCTGTAACCGGTCTACAAAAATCTTAAATGTTATGCGTTATGTTTCAGGTACTGCATGGGGAGCAAACAGAGAAACTCTAATGATGATGTACAGGTCACTGGTTCGTTCAGTTATTGATTATGGTTGTATTGCCTATGGTAAAGCAGGTGATACTCAACTGAAGAAACTCGACGTTCTACACATGAAAGCTATACGTATTGCCACCAGGGCAGCCGTAGGTACGAAGAATGGGGCGCTACTTCAGGAGGTGGGAGAGAAACCCCTCTCTCTTCGGAGGGAGGAACTATCTCTCAAATTCTGGGGGAAACTTCAGTATTTGTCCGAAAGCTGTCCAACGTATTCCAGCATCAGAAGATTTACTCGTGTCGGAAATAACCAGAAGATTTGAGTCATCTATTGAGAGAGCATCAGCTCGATCAAGTAACGATCCTTGAACGACGCCTATCGGTTACTCCGTTTTGGAAGGTTACCAACCCGACAGTCAACACCCAGCTGATCCAGAGTACCAACAAGCACGAGAGCCCAGTTGGAGCAAGAGCTCCCGCTCTTGATCTCATTGATTCCGTGTACGCCGACCATTTGAAGATCTACACCGATGGTTCCAAGAGTAGTACCGCAACAGGTTACGGTTTGTGCATTCCAGCAAAAGGCATCCGCATCAGTAAAAAGAAACCCCCCGCACTGTTCAGTGTTCACAGCAGAACTTCTTGCCATCAGGGACGCGGTAGCATGGCTGTCCGTCAATCACACGGAGCATGCCGCGATTCTATCCGACTCGCTAAGCAGCCTCCAATCTATTTTTCTCACCTCTTCTAATTGCAGGTCAGAAGTTATTTCCGAAATAAGAAGAATGATCCACAACTACCAAACCAACAACGACCAGAAGATTGAATGAGTATGGGTTTCATCGCACGTCTCCATTCCTGGCAATGATCAAGCAGACCGTTGTGCCAATTAGGAAAGTCTGAGTCTGGAGGATATCGAGCCTGTAGAATACTCCTATTCGGAATTCTGCAGATACCAAACCAAACCAAACCAAACCATCCATCTGTAGCCATCTGCAAAGTGGCAACCAGACTCCGGACCAACAACGTACTACGAGACCATCAGTTCAACGCCATTAAATGTCGCTGCGGCCACGTTGCCACAAGGTCGCATGTCCTCATTCAATGCACTGAACTGAAACTCGCTCGTAAGCCACGGCATACCACTCACCATACAGAATGTTTTGGCTCCACCCACGGACCACTGGTATACGATAATGGAACTAGTCTTCCATTTTATAACCAAATCTGTCTTGAACTACCAATCAACAAGAAATACCATGATCAGAACGAACTTGGAAGAATGAAGAAGACCGAGTAACTCACGCTACACCATCCAGAACCGAGTTTCACCACCATGCCATTCGACCCGACCAGATCTAACGAAGAATCAACAACCAAACCAACAATACCGAATCATCCAATTTGATCCAATCCAACTACCAACTACTACGACTACCAACAACTACCTAGTTTGCGATATCAGCATCCGCTGGAAGCGAACGTTAACTTGTCATCTACCATACCTACCTACCTCACCGTTCGAACATTCTTCTTGTCTTTGTGAAATGGTTATTAGGTATTTTCTTAGAATTGCATCAAACAACAACTGGAAATAAATCACAGTTAAATTCTCTGGCTTTTTTATCAACCAATGATCAATGGAAATTACAAACTGAATTAAGGTGTCAAATATTTAACAATACACCATCACATTATTGTGAATAAACCTTTTGAGGTTTGGATAGCAGTTTTGGAAGCCAATGCAGATCAGACTTCTGATGCAGTTGTAGGGCAGAAAATTCATGTAATCAAATAATCGCTATATTATGTAGAAACGAATTCGTTAATTTCACCTTCCGGTGAGCATGTATTGAATATAATGGTCACAACCACGTCACTTGAAGATGTTAAGGTCGTATCTCGGATAGAACTTATGTACAATAAATCGTATCTTACAATGTGAAAACAATTCCTAGGAGAGAGCAATCGCCATAATATATAACAGTGAACAAAATCTCATGATTATAAATCTATTTCCCCTTACAATTAGAAACTTGGGTTTTGTTTTTAATACAATAAACATCGTACACAATGGGTTTTAATTTGGATTCATGACAAAATAACACGTTTGCACGATTTGCCTTTACTTTTTGAGAAAATGGAGGGGAAATGTTCCTAATGATATACAATTAATTCAGCGCATCAAATTACAAATTTAATGAAATGATCTTAGATCATAGGACAATAAAAGCTTTAGACTCTTTTAGAAAATATTTTCATTTATTTTACCAACCAAGGACAATTATTGCAAAGTTGTTGGCCGCTACAATACTTAACCCAAAATAAGATAGTGTTTTCGATAAATCTGATAGTCCACTGATGTAATCAGACGTATATTAGATTCCTTAAGCTATCGTGCAAAATGGAGAAGAATGGGGATTGGTTTTTAAGAATAACTGCATTTTTAATTTGTTAACCTACTTTGTGACCTAAAATTTAAAAAATATTATCTACGGGTCACCATAGTATCACTTGTTAGAAAATTCCATTCATATGGTTCGTTCTCGCGTATCACTGATAGCACTTTATCTATAAAAAAATATATATAGATAAGACATTAAAAAAACAATTGCGGAAAAAGCTAAAGATGGTTAACAGTGCAACTTTCGTGATTTTTTTGGCAACACACTTTATTTTCGGTGAAGGAGGTATGTCAATTTTCAAATAATAGCGAATTTAATTCATTCTATTTTTTCAGGGATTTGTCAGTGGTAATAACCATTAACCCATACTCATATACGTCAGACAATTTGAAAAAAACCGCCCCATTTAACAAAGCCAGAGCTGCATAATCAACAAGAAAGAGTCACTCTTTTATAATGTTTGTGCAATTGTGCACCAATAATGCGAATAAATTTTTTTATCTATTATTTACAAATTGTGACAAATCAAAACGAATATATATATATATAAATATATAGGGAAAATGTCACCCTAGCCATTTAACATGGAACTGAGCATGTGGTGACATCATTTTGATACTTTTTTTTGATATCATGCGACACCTGTGGTTTTGTTTTTAGCTACTCATAAAGATCGATGTATAGATAGGTGTGGTTTTGATTATGATTCCCGATATGATTGTCACTGTAACAGCCAATGTGAGACGTTTGGGAATTGCTGTTCCGACTACTGGACAATATGCAAAGGTAAGATCTAATAATAATCCAATCATAATATATAAACAAAATATTTATCTTTTTCTAATCTAGCAATGATATTTTCATTTTTCAAAATTGGGCATTGCATTTGGTGGTGTTTTTAACTAGTGCAATGGATGACCCTTCTGTCGAATTTGATTTCAATAAACAAATACACATTGGTTATCTACATTTCGAATAAAAAATTATCTGTGTTACTTAACTACTTTTTCATTTTAATCTTGGTACCCTTTCTTTTAAGCTGGTGGCGTGGTTCACACACATCATCCACAAGTCGTGACTGTATTGCCTTTAGGAAAGTACACTGGAAGTGAAACTGGTATAGCTCAACAATTATGGGACGCTGATGTTAACAGATTTGGTCCCGCAGATCTAAAGATAAACCTTCAAGGTCATACCGGAAGAGGTCCTGGAAGTGATCATGCAACCTCTAAGTAAGTTTCCCGATGAGAAAGTTACCAAGATATATATGAATGTTATCTATCTGAGAAGGCAAAAAGGGCTATTTCTTAGACAATTTTGTTTTTCTAATATTATCATTTGCTTTTTGAACTATAAAGAGTTACGTACAGAGGGATTTGTTTTACAATTTACAATATTTCTTCTTAATTTCAATCATGTACCGTACTGTAACAACATACATCAATTGTACTGTTGCAACCGTAATCGTAAATGTATTGAGCAAACCTGATCCAACGACACAACCCACTATATTGAATATTCATACTTATGTTACAGTGTTATTTATCTAAAGTGTTTCACCAAACACTTTGTAAATTTCAGATTATTTACCTATGTAAATGTAAGAAAGCTTCAAAGTCCAACCTATAAAACTTTGTTAGCTCTGTGGGACAACTATCATACTAGTGAATCGCAACACGAATCAACCACCGCTCAACATCAAAATGAAATAAACGCTTTTCTTGATGCTGTCATGAATACTAAAGTTATGCAATTAGCCTACAGTTATCTTACAACTTTCAGTAAGTTCTATACAACCACAATCACCATGCATCTCGCAATATGAGAGGCTGGTATTGCTGCCAGTGATGTTGCAGCTGGGTTTGCCAACTGTGGATCCGCTTTGGAGTCGTCACATATAATCAGTTTGTACTTATAATATAGTCAAGAAGCTCCTGCTCTATACATTCTCTTGATTTATATCATCAATTTATCCTATCAATAACATAATTATAAAATCTTATTACATTTTCTTCAGAGCATTTTATTGGAGATCAACATGCTTTCAAGGCCAAACTTCAACAACTTTGGTTTGCCTTGTACTCTAGATCGAGCAATGGGCCAAAGAATAGCTGTGGATTTGAACACATTTTCCTGGGAGAATTCAAAGGCTCATCTGTGTCAGGCTTTCACAACTGGGTTAGGTTTTATAAATTGGAATCTAGTGGTAGAATTGATTACAAAGGCTACATCAATAAAAAAGAAGTAAGAAAGCTTTTCTCGAAAATAAAAATTGACGTCAAGGCCTTTTCTTAAAGACATAGCAGAAATGTAAAGGAGTTTTATGATGGGTGGTTTTTTTTTTTTGCATGATACCTCAAAATATCCATTTGGTTTTTAGTGTCTGTAATGTTTCACGAGAGTTATCCAAACTTAATATTCAAATGCGACAAATTCATGTCTCAAAAAATGCCTTAGTGTTGACACTGTCGAACAATCTGATCCAGACCATTCGCCACCTGTAACAAAAAGTAACAATTTTCCATTTCAGCCTTTTCTAATTGAGTTTACCTTCACTTGGGATGGAAAATGGAAACCAATCAGTTCATTTTTTATTGGAACCAGTCCTGAATTTGATATGGCTTTATCTACTATATGTATGTTAACTGCGCCCAATAGAGCCTGTAAATATACTATACAGGGACAACATTTTAGAATCCAAACTTATGATAATACTCATGTGAGTGGATTACAAGTTGCATCAGCATACCCCGAAATGTAAATAAAACAGCTTGCTCTACTAAATGGGCCTGCATCGTGATCTTTTTGCAGTTGTAATATTTTCGATCTCTAATGTCTTAGGTTGAAGCTGTCCAATTTAAAAACGAAGCAAAATAGACTGTCTAAGTCATTTAGAAATACAGCTTTTTCTACAGCACCTAAAATCTTTGGATTTTCTTCAATGTCTGCATAACCCGTTTTGAACAAACTGTTTGTTGTCATTCATCTCTGATATTGTAAATAATTTACATGAACATGAACTTGTTCCTTAACAGATAGTATCTATAGACATACCATGCTAACAAGGTAATTTTGATATTTGATCTCTCTGGATTAAACAAGGTGAAAATATGTTGCTACTTTTGCTGGAGATCACAAGAAGAAGCTTCATAAATGTCGCATGGAATTGTGTTGATCGGTGTGTTTCAGTTCATCAGAAATTTAAGATAATAAATCAACTGCTTTCGCCTAAAAACGAACTGTTGATTCTTCAACTATGTCCATACTTCATATGAGCCGCGACCAATTACACAGGCGCAAGTAGTTTAGAAGATTAAGTAGATAAGATTAATTCGTAACGATTGGGGATTTCGATGGGCGGAAATCGCAGAGTATACAATTTCCATTTCAAGAATCTAGAGCCTCCTCCTATTCGCCTTCTCTGACCTCTTTGGATAGCAAGAATTATTCACTGTGTTCATGGTGTGCTGAACATTTCTTCTTGAACGACCTCTCACATCGGGAACTTGACCACCTTCTAGCAACTATGATCAACGTGATGGTAGCATTTTCTGACCGCTCAGGTCAACAGATTCTAATTTTGCACGACATTTGTACGAGCAGGTGGTCCGTGAGCCCAGATAGATGAAATCCAGCGACTAATCGCTGTCCTACACCACCAACACCTCCACCATCTCCTTAATGCAGTATGACTTTGTGACTGTCGTGTTCTGATTTAGCATTAGCTATATTGTAACTTTCCTTATCAATAACACATAACATAACAAAACTATTTGAAAGTAGGCTAGATCTCACAGTGGATCCTTCAAGTACGACTCCGCCATATCTTATTTCAATGAACGACCTCGTCTAGTAGCTATACAAAGCCGACACAATTACACTCAACTTATCTATTGTCCTGATCGAAATAAGATTGATTTTTAAAAGGTTTTTGAGATTAATCCAAATAACTACTCAATACACTCGTTAGAACTTTGATTAAGAAAACAAAAAATACCTTGATCGTTAACGTATATTTTCTATGTCAGCTTTATTTATGCCTTATCTATTTTATTATGATTTATAAAGACTCAAAAATTAACCGAGCGATATTGTGGGTATAATGGCTAAAACATTAATAAATCATAATATCATTAACAATAACATATTATGTTACATTGACAATTGCTTATCATGCATTGATAAAAGCTATCGTTACACTGATATGCACAATAAATACATGGTTGGATTAAACTTCTAGTATGTATGGCGGAGCTGAATTAAAATAACAATTTTCATTCAGTCCACACCTCTATTGCCTTTTGGCTTAGACTTTAATTTTGAGTTTTGGATTAAGATTAAGATGATGAAAGTTGAAATGCTTCCATATATTCCGAGTGAAACATTTCTTGAATTAATATACCTTCACATGCCCATCAAAACAAAGCTCTTCATCACCTTCATCAAATCTCAAGACATTAAAGCTAGACATTCTGATTACAACAGATATGAAGCAAAGTGGAAAGTGACTCTTAACGGGGGTTGGAGGTAAATAATCAGCAAAACAGAAATATACGACGAAAGAGATTATTGTACAAGCTACTTGATAGTGTTTGTCGACGTTAATTCACATGTCATTATAAATACACATATAACAGAGGCTCGGCTCAATGGTATATTATTGGTTTGAATAGAAAAGGGGCCACGGGTCAAAATTTAAGGGTTTGATTTAACATTAAATTTGGCCTTTATTGTTATGAATTAAGGTGTTTCGTGAGAGATTGGAATAATAATGATCCCTGATATTAGACAAAAAGCCAGTGAACATTTTTTAGTTGATTAAAAATCAGATTTTAAGCGTGTCGTTATTTATATATAATTGTTTACCACTAACATGGTAATATGACTGTTAAAACTAGTTGATAAAAAAAACCTCGTAGCAGACGACTCGCAGCATGGACAAAAGGAGCCATTGACAACCAGGTAAACAATATGGCGGGAGGTCTAAAGACGGTGATTTAATACATGACCTGTTCTTTTTGTTCTTAACAAGTTGTGTCGTGTTATTGGATTTATTAAATCACATTCAAAATGGATTATGTCGCCTTACAGTTAAAATTTTGTCTGATAATCATACGACACGATGACAAACAAGACAACTTGTAGCCAAAAAATTAAACCCATGAGTGAAAATGTGCCAATACCAACTGCTGTGAATGTACAAAATGGACTATCGAATACACAAACTGTTGGATATCTGAATTCTACAAAGAGAGGTATGCATTCTTTAACCTTGTGTTTTATATCGTTTTAGAAGAAACAGTTACACGTTATTCGTACAAATTAATGGTAATATTCTATTTGTCTCCTACTTTAAAAATTCAATACAACCCGACTGTATCATTGCTTATAACGGAATAATTAATATAAAGACATTATGGTCGTTGGTAATAAAGTATGGTAGACACAATTTATTTCTTTATATATTATTTCATGAATATGTCAAAGCTAAAAGGAAATCGATGCAGAAAATAACTGGAAATGCATATGCATCACTAGCTACATCAGTTGAAGCACATGCTTATCTCAGAAGGGACTGCTTTGATACATCATGCCGATGAGTGATTTTTCCTTGAAACCTTGTGTTTATTTTAATATTCTTGAGGGAATCGGTTTTAATTTCATTTACAGCAACGAAATATCCACTCAGTATCCATTCGTTCAACAAAAGCGACTCATATCGCCAGAGTCTGTTGGAAGATATCGATACCATCTACAGAAATGAGATACTGGCTGCTCACGGGTCACCAACCTGGGTGGCTGAAATCAGTAAACAGATGACCCATAGTGGAGAGTCTCCTCTTTTCTTACAGAACTTACTGTCACCTCACAAGGTATGCAAAATCACATTTATTATTTCTTATCGAAAATATGTCAGTGTAAACTATTTTGAGCCGAAACTGTGTCTAGCGTTATGTTCGCTAACGTGAACTCTGCTATCGATAAAAGTTACCATCCTCCCTGTTTTAAGGATTTACTTTGGGGGATACTCTTGGAAGTATCTGAAGTCAAGATGTTCTTATGTTAAATGTTTAACATTCTCCAATTCAAAATGATGGTCACTGAGATTTTGCAAATGTTGCATAACTCAAGCGTTTACGAGATTACATTATATTTCTATATTCAGCACATTGAAGCTTCAAAAGGTTGTAATTAATTGTCAATCTCACTCAATTATCTTCACGATCGTGTCCTTAAGCTTAATTTGTACTGTTATAATCTATCATCTTATCTTCAGCCTGATCACAAATCAAAGAGACCCAGTTCAGCTCGATCTGTAGTAGAGGGTAAATATTATCGACCAAATCGTATGCACCAGTATCTGTCTCCTACCGAGCTTCGAGATCACTGGCAAGGTGAAATAGATGTTAAGTATGGTAAACCAACAAGAACCACGTAAGTCATTATACAATTTTAACTCTACCACTATAATGGTTATTTCGTTGTATATTAGGATGCTTTCTAAAATCTAACTGTAAGTATGTATATTTAAAATGACTGATATTAATAAAATATCAGCATAGTTGACCCGTGTATCAACTTGACAAGGATTAATTTTTGACTTTGAATCTTTATAATATGGTTTCAGCTGAAGTGGATTGCATTGAGAAAAATAGTTTTTTACTGCCTTCGATATTCACTAGAAATATGTGTTAAATATTCAATTCATTTGAATAATTTTGAAGAAGCCAAACCATACCTTTAAGGGTATTTAATTTCAACCACGACGATTCTACTTAATCTATCAAATTTATCAAATTTAATCTTTAAATCAATTTAGATTATTGAGAGCTCAACAAAGGGCTGGATCGGTGCCAGTGAACGCATATGATGAGAGACGGAAACAGATCGAAAGTAAGTAATAGAAAAAGGGTTAATTTTTATTATTTGATCATTAATTACACGAAACTCAAATAAAATCGTCTGGAAAATAATCTACTTTTAGGTAAAATCCGTGGTATGTTTTAATATCTATTACCGGCGTTTCGAAAGCAACATGGTGTAAGACAAGTAATATAAGCTTTTGAGGAGGAGTGAAAAAAATGTTAAGTCTTGTCAAAAACTTGAGACTGTCATATATATTACCTCAATTTCTACTTTAAAAAATACTACCGTGCCCTCAAACCATAGCGAATACCAGTTGCGTGAAAGTGGCCATGAAGTCAGAACGCAACTCCAAACTCAGTTGCATGAGAGTTACGTTATAAATTTCTCACCGTTATCCCATTTGCAACCACACGCAACTGGTGATCGTTAAGGTGTGAGGACCACGTAAGTATTATGTTTGACTATTTATTTCACTGTCTTGCAGATGAAAAGAAGCTACAGGCCAGTTGTCAAAGTTTGTTCACACCGAAAGAGTAAGTAGTTCATTGGTTTCTAACCCAAATATACGGAATTATACTTTTGGAGAGGTTTGATAAAAAGTTGATGGTTTGAAGATTTATTATAGGAATTCATTACACCAATCGCTGTTGAAACGTTATCTACGTTACATAATAGAGAATCAACAAGACTTGGTCTTGATTTAATTATATTATCGGCACCCCAATAATCAAGTAATTTTTACCAAGTAATTATTTTACAAGCACGGTGATGTAACATCATCTGCATTCGGCTTCTTTTCCGGGAATCCACATTGCTGAAGTATTGTTTATTTTAATCTATCCCCCGCGAAATTTTCAATGTTTTCCAATTATTTTCTCATTGTTTTTTATTCTTAGATCTTATGATGTAGACACAGACGGCGAGTCACAGCATTCTTTCCTCACAGGCGCAAGATATAATTCGTAAGTATTAGTCTACTTAATATAATGAAGACAATTTAAGAAATAATTGGAATCTCCACAAAGCTGAAAAAGACTAAATAATGTGTGTGTGGAGGGGGGGGGGAGTTTTCAGGAGACACTACCAGGCGGATAACTGATCCACCATAGTTTTTCCTGAGCTTCGTTTTCAACCATCTTCTGTCTGCATTAACTGCGATTACTACATGTAGATAGGCATTATGACAACTCTTAAAGTAGCTTTTATTTTAAAAAAAAAATCACTGTCCATCGGTTTACATATGCCTGTGAAATCGATCATCATGACGATTTTGGAATGCATAGTGATCGTATATCGATTTAGCCAAGTCGGCTACATATAACTGTGTTACATATTAATGTTCTTGACTAAGTCACAATTTCGTAATTGGCAAATTGTTCGAACATTTTTGATGAATTGTAATGATGTTTTAATAAAGGTGGTATGGCGAGTTGTGTTCGATTATCAATAAGAGTTATTGCCCCTTAAAAAAGAATTCGCCTATGCGATAGAGTTTATTTTTAATTGATTTTATTTTCTTTTAGTACGTTGTTGATATTTATATTACTCTGTTTATTATTTGTAGAGCTCATATATTAGACAGTAGAAGTCTATGTCTGTATGGTATTTATATGCCGAGAGAAAATCCTGAAAGATATTTTGTTAATAGAAAGAAACAAGATAGAAAATATCAATGTCCTTCAGCACCACCAGGTTGATATTAGCTGTTCAAATCATTCACTTTTATAATCGGACAAAAAAATCAATACACATTCAACACTCGACCAGTTTACTTTATCTTAAGATAGATCTATTAATGTAGTTTGTTTTTCTGCATCACTTGTACTGCACGTACGTGTCTATATTCCCTCTCTTTGAAATACAATGGGCATGACTCAAATTATCCATATCAGAAGAAAAAACACTTGATTTGGTTATGAGCAAGCCGTGAACTATGAATATCTCTTATTCATACAAAATTCCGCCGTTCTTAAATATGCATTGAAGGACACTAGGGGACCAGTCTGCAAATATTGTCTATCAAGGTCCTCAGTAATCATTAGTCACTGGTGCCTTCTTCGCAATTTGTAGTCACTCGTGTTCAGTACCCGGAAAAAATGCAGATCGAAGTAAAGCTCGTTGATTTCTTGCGTTTTATTTCATGTCTTCATGTCAATTTCAGATTCACCGAGATCAACAACTAATTCAGTATCTTTTGTTAAAAGAATCAGACCGAAAACTGCTCCAAATTATGGTCGAAGGTCATCACCATCACCACGACAAGCCTGGGTTCAAACACCAACCCCAATCCAAACACCAAGACCAGAAAGTTATACAGGTAATCTGGACAATTATGATTTTCATGAATGCTACAATATGGATGAATCCTCCGGGATAATAGAGAATTATTCGACGATAATACACATAGTAGGAGGCCACCATCTTAGTTCATTGGAAATCAATTGTCGAGCATATTCATCTTTGGACCTAGAATTATAGATTTTGCTATTGATTCGTTGTCGTTTTTTTCAGGCATAATGTCCCCTGAACAACAACCAAATATTAAGTCTCTTCTCCCCAGTGTAAAAGGTATCTCTGTTTCCAAAGCCGCTAAAAATATGATGCGTCTTTCAAGCGAGTACTGTACTCAGTCACCTCCGCCTTCACCTTCTGGAAGAGAAGCAAGTAATGTAGATGATGATAATAGATCTAACAAACTGGATGAAAAATCAAACGATGTACCTTATTTCATAACCGAGGGAAAAGTGGAATACACAGGTGAAGCTCAAAATGAAATTTATGGACGTTCTGTAAGCCTTAAACCTATGCAAATTATCGGAGAGGAGGTGCTCGTGGAAAAGCCAGTTACCCCAGAAAGACCTGGTAGGAAAGGATCTGCTCAGAGCAAAAATACAGAATCACAAAATGGACATATTCAAGATGGTATTAAGAAATGTCCAGAATGTGAAAGACTAGAACTTAGTTCTAAAGCTCCTGTTGAACATGACACACATGTAATTTCTCGGAATGTTTCGTCACCACTTTCGTCTCATATTATCACTATCCCATCAGATGCGGTCATAAATCAAAGTACAGCGAAGGAGGTAGATGACATACCATAACTCATGTTATGTAATTAAATAAAAATTTATGATCACTAAGGAAAAATTAATATTTAATTGCAATGAGGGAGAGTGTAAGTGTTATCAAGAAACTCTGACCTACATAACAGCCTTAACAAACAAATAGGTCATTCATAATATAAATTAGAAATTTTCCAAAAAATAAGTTTTATCATTTTCAAACGCAATATTTCTTATTTCATGTACAAACTGGCTAATAACCATTGTGGCCGTCGTTCACCGATTCCATTATATTAAATTTTAAACAGACACCAAGCAGACCAGAACTAAATCATAAAACAGTCAATTAAAAATTAATTGATTTCGTGTTCAAGACAAAACCTCATAAATCCAGATAAAAATATTACCTTCTTTAATGACCAGACCCGCTCAAGGACAACACTTATTCTTAATAATTGTTTCGCCAACGATAAGTTTGGGCATACATGTCGGCACAAATTCCGTTGTTTTTCGGTATGAGGGGTTCTAGTCGCAAGCGGTAGAAATTTGACATGACGTATTTTGCTTGGTTAAGTCGAACAGATGGTGGTCGTGGGTTCTTGTGACCTTGAATAAGTTATCTTTCCTTCAGTCGACTCAGCTGTAAATGGGTATGGATAATGATGAAGATCAAGGAAAAGAGGTTTGGACAAGGAGCAGCAGGTAGAAAGGATCCTCTTGAATCACATTTGTCATCCTTTTTTTACAAAAAAAAAACATAACCCATGGTTGTTTCTTTCTTTCGTTCACATAATTCGATATAGCTTCAATGAACTCCTTATATTTTATAATAAACCATACAAATATATATATTTTATTTCTTGTTGCAGTCTTGTTTTGATTATACAAGGCTATGATCTTCTATATTGCTATTACCTTCATTCGCCAAAATATTCTGGTTGTATTGTTCTCGGTACTTTGTTGTTGTTTAATAGACGTCGACTAAAACAAAGGGTCAAACGATGCTGGCGAATTAACATAATTTAATATTGATGAATTAAGTAGTTTTCGATCATTGACGATCACCTTTATGATCGAAGACTTACAGCTTAATGTTAGGGTCATCAATTATTGAACTATATCAGTCAAGGATGAAACTTCAAATTTTATTTCCAACAATATGATCTAGCAACATGGATGAGAAAAGTGGTGCAAAGGAAATATTGGAGGGATATGCTAAGTCTTCTACTATTCATGGATTTTCTAGAATTGTAGATGTTAAATTGTACAAGGGAAGAAGGTAATAATATATATTTTGTACAGTCTTCAAATGGTCTTGACAGCTGGTAAACTTGATCAAGCCTTTTGGTTCAGTATAACATCTATACCCAACGGTCCTTGTTGCTTAGATCAAAGGGAATTTTCGATATCAGGATAAAATAACTGCTATATTCACTAAGACCAAAATTGTGTTTTTTTGAAATTGCTAAAAAGTAGATTAATGCCAGTGCTCTGGTAAAGTTTCTTTCAATACGTTGTAGATAGGGACATCTGGTGCAAAATAATTACATATTCATATTTTACTTCAATCATGCAAATCAAAGTTAAATACCATAACCAAGTTCTGTAATGTTTATCAAAGCCTATCTCAATAGGAGCAATTGCTCACACTTATGAAAATATTCCTAATGTATATGCTATAAAACAAGAATGAGATAAGTAACGAAAATACCATTTTACTTGAGATTTCCAATTCTGGCCAGGTTTCTGTGGATCTATTTAACTTGGTATGGTACAAATATAAGCTCTTAGTTTCCCCGATACCCACAATAATGCCTGTTTTTGATTTAAATGTTAACATTTAATTTCAGAGTATTATGGACTATTGTTGTTTTAATGATGTGGCTTGCTCTGGTTGTTTTGGTATATGAGGAAGTTACAGGATACATGTCCAATCCAACCTTCACTGAGATTCAATCTAGAATGGTTTCACCTAAAGATTTTCCTGCCATTTCATTTTGTGATCCCAACTACCTCAGGAATACTCTTCTGGAAGACATGGAACAATCAGATAGAATAAGGGTATTGAGAAGCATTGACTTTTTGAAAGAATGGGACCTACAATCCAATGACACTAATTCTGTATCTTACAAGAGCCAAAGTCAGCACACTAGTGAGTCACGAAGCAAACAGACGGACCCAATTGTGACAGCTCTTCTAAATAAATTGAAATCTCACAGAAACCCGGACCTGTTTAACATGAAATGTTCGTGGGGAGAAAAATGGAGGTCGTGCAAAGCAGCTTTTACGACATCGGTATCATTGTATGGTATTTGTCTTACACTGAATCCTCACAGACTCGTAGCTGCACAAAATAGTCACCCCAACCTTTTATCGATTTTACGTGGAATAAGATATATCTACAAGCAACCGAATATTAGCAATGCTAATGTCGAATTCAAAGGAGTTAAGGTATATATGAGCCACTTGTCTCCTTTTGAAACCAGTGATCCTAATGAAAAATTTTTATATCAAAATGCTTAAATATGAACTTTCGCCGATTTAGCACTACTTCGATTACAGAATCTATAATGGATAACCGTTGTTATTTGTTATTTCTCGTTTGATAATGGTAATATAGATTGACCATGTGATGGCACATAACACATTAACAAATTACCAATTTAAAATCAATATTTACAACCTATTAAAGATATACATGTACTACCTCCTAGGATGACCAAAAATTTAAACTAAAATAATCAGTGAACTTGCCCGTATCATTACTATACAACCGAATCCTTCTACAAAAAATCCATAAAACTAAGTCATATTCTATTAACTAAGTCATTTTGAAATACGTTCATGTTAAGAAGTAGTATTCCCTTAATGATGCTCTTGGAAAACAAGGTTTATATATAAATGTGTTTTTTTTTTCAGTTGATTATACATGATGCAAACGAAGACCCTATGTCTTCATTGCGTGGGTATTACGTTCATTCCGGTACTTTTACCGAGATTTCAATTACCAAAACATTGGTAAGGAAGGCATTTATGCTTATTGATATATTTTTATTGTGAATTACATAATTTTGTTATTATATTTTGTTATAATATTATATGCTATTGGTAATTTTTATTTCTTTGAATTGCGTCCTTACTCTTTGCTTGGCGGAAAACTCCATGGCATTACCTATCGATTCTAGTCTTTGACAGTGGTAGCGGGAATCGACATATTAATATTCACTTTTGATTGTTTAATTATTTTACTGTAGGAACGCTTGTGAGTTTAATATTAAGCGTCATTTAAAACAATTTCGAATTTGGTAATGTCTACTTGCAAATATCCCCATCTTAACAAATCTGCTGATTAGCGTATGTTTTATTTTTGTTTCGGATATACCATTTACAACAATATATTATTGAGTATGCCGGGTAACGTGTTTTGTGTTGATAGATCATATTTGTATTTGGCAAATACTTTTTCTTTCAGTCAATAAACTTACCTGTACCATACAAATCATTTGCAGGTTCCGGGTGTTTAATGCCCGGGCCGGACCAAATAAAGAGATTTCTAAAATATTCCAGATCTTCTTGTGAACTTGAATGTTTTATGAATTACACCATTTCACAGTGTGGTTGTCGGCATTTCCTTTTTAGAGGTTCGTTTGTGTTTTTCTGGTCATCGTTTCTGCAATTGGACTAAGTCGAATAAATCCAGGTCTTGTTCTGTTACTGCAAGCTACATTAGACTTCTTACTTCATGGCATTGTTAGCCATTATTGTCCCAAATAGTAAAAGAGGAATTTTCATTTTAATAAAAAAGGTATTTTGAAATGAATTCAGTCCATCTTTCTCTGGGCCTTGCCTCAAGAAAGTTTATTTTGTTCACATTTGTTGTAGGTATTGAAAGACTATGCAGCGTACAAGAGATGGGAGAATGTGTCACGGTGCAAGCTGGTAGTTATGATTTATTATTTTTGCTACTGATATAAGTAACATAATGAAAAACCATCTGGTAAACTAGTGGCTTCTCTGTATATATTAAGAAAATTTTCCCATCGCCACATTCAGAAACCTACAGTATTCAAATAAATGTGAAAATGTAGGAAATATATAATTACACAAAAGGTAGAAGCTCTAGCTCTAGCCACAAAAATGTTAGGAGCTCTAGCTCTAGCCACAAAAATAGGAACTCTTCCATTGGCCTTTCTAATCTTTCAAAGGCTGCATAAAATGAAAACAGCTTCGGATTGTACTCACCTCGACTACTATCCGCCATGTAGCAAAGGTAATTTCGATAAGATTGTATAATACATATAGAAACGAGTTTTAAATATTATATTGTAGATATTTATTTCAATGATTTGGAATTAAGCGGTTGTAATTGTTTACATGCTTGTGTTCAATCAACACATATGGTCACTGTCACTTCTTTAGAGAAACCGAGGTGAGCAAATAATTTTGAATCTTGGTTTTTTTTAAGGATGGATTTATACTTCTAACGCCGTCAACCACCGCAATACGCTAGCATACTCTCGTTGTTCATTGCTGACATTAAATGGAAAAGGAAATTTGAGGAAGGAAATAGATTAGAAGTGATTATTATTCATCTAGTACAATATTCAGCTGATAACTCTGTTATTGAACGTACATTGTTTTAAAATTTGTATATCTATTTCAGTGATGACAAGACAATTTCATTACGTATTTTCTTTGGCAATTCTTTAGTAACAGAAATTGTTCAGAAAAGTTTGCACAATATGGAGGCTTTCTTGGGTAAGGATTTATACAGTCAACACGTATTTTCACTAACTTCGATTTCTATACGATGTTTTTTTAACTCATAAATTTTCTGTTATCTTTTCATGAAATCAATAACCAAAAAATTCTTTTTGATGCACTTTCGAGTATTTTCGAATATCCAACCCAAATTAGTAACGTAATAAAGATAAATATATTTATCTATATTTATCTAATATACTTGTTGATGAAGATGATATGTATATTATTTTTATTAATTTCAGCTAATATTGGTGGAATCATTGGTTTATTTCTTGGGTTCAGTGTGGTTTCTCTGATAGAAATCATTGAACTCTTTGCCCTTTTTATGGCCAAAAAGTGTACCAAATCTCGTATTGGCAATCCCACTTAAAGGGACAGATTCGCCATCTGTTTCACCAATCGTACCTTATTCTCAGAACCGCGATTGTTTGAAGGAATTATGCGATTTTCGTACATTTCTAGTACTTATAACGACTATTTACCTATAATCAAAACCCACACCAACCCTTGAAAACGGCGATATTCCCCTTTAATGCACACGACATGGTTATTGTCAGCACCAATAAACATACCAGCTATCCAGAGAATCTAAATTTTAGGTTCGTAATTCAAATCCAGTATTTAATTTGATTTTAAGTTATGGCATACTTTATTATTGATTACTTCCCTTGAACTATCAGAAAATTTTGAGATTTGTTCGGTGTTAAGAGATGAGTCAGTGTTGTATATAACACTGAGACGAGTAATAGAATTCAAATATTGTCTGATATTACCATGGATTATTTCCCCTTTTATTATCAGATTTTTATTATCAAATATAATTTAAATTTAACCAAATTAATGTTGAAATTTATGTATTGTCAGATTAATGTAAATATCAATAACATAAGTATGAAAATTCAATTTGAATCAAATATTTCATGTTAACGATATTCGCTTAATTTGTTGTGAAATTTTTGAGCTATGTTCAAAAATGAATTTCAAAATATTACAAAATATTGTATATTTAAAATTTTGTATTTAGAAAAGAGCGATGGTTTGTTCATCAATCCTGTAAATATGTTATCATTTGATTTATAAGTACCTCCGTTACACACATTTGTGATATTTATAATACGTTTTTGTCTTACAGGACAGTTGACATTAACCTTCTATTTCAATCTTTGAATATTCATGTTAGTATTCGTAAAATTTCAATTCATTACCAGGATTTTTAATAGATGCATAAGCGTTGTTTTGTGAGCGATTGTGTCCGGTATGAAATAAGCCCCGTCGTAAGAACTGGTTGTGATACAAGACCAACTACTAATATGGAAACTCAACACCACAGTAGATTAGCGTATTGGAATTATTATGTCACGTTTATTCAGTTCGAATTTGACGTACAGTGAGATGAAAGGAAATTCGAGCGACTTCTTATCAAAACCAGAGGATTGAAACGGCTTAAATTAATTTGTATCTTTCAAAGAGTCTTGATTTATTTGTCTGACTACTGCTTGCCTTCGATTTGACCGAACATTTATCTCTGGATACCTCATGAATACCGGCTTTAGAAAATAGAATGCCAGAAATCCAATAAACGTGGTTAAAATTAAATTGTCACTGAGTAAAAATCGTTGGAAAACGCGATTAGACGAATTAAAGGGCAAATTACTATATTGGGGTTTAGTCAGATTCAGATAATAGAATCAACTTGAATGAAGCGAGTAGTCAAATCGATAAAAACTTCTCGACAGAGGGATGGCCCGAGGCAACATTCTTACTAGTTATTGACTAGCTACTTCTTCTTCAAGACTTTTGTTCATTCAAGTGCATACTATCAGGTCATCTTCTGCCTATCACATAGACCATAGTTTCTCACACATAAAAAAAACCATTACGATAGATGTATGTCGCAAGCGTGATTCGTTTTATACACAATATTAACGTATAAATTTTGAGAACTGACGACATTGAAGTAATTTCCCTTTTTATGGTTGACCTATAGTTTCGCATGTTACAAATATAGTATACATTATAATAAACGCATTAATTTGTATGCCGCACCAATATACACACGTCACGATTTAAGACTTAAAGTTAAAAGAATGAAATTTTGAAACATGCTTTAACCTGTTTTCTAGTGACACACGGACTAATAACACCAAAGAGTCTCTCCGTGTCATGCCTTCGACAATTGTAAGGAATGATTTCGACTAATACTGAAAATGAAGACACCAAATCAATGGCGACATTGATAAAATACACCATTGTATAGTTCAAATTGCAAGTTTACATCTCTGATGTTTAACATCATGTTAAAGTTTTGGTCTTAGCCCAAATTTTGCAGCAAGAGGGAATAGACTGATTGCCTACTCCACCTCCATCTTAAAATGGCCAAAAACTGTGCCGATTTTGACCCGAGAGGTTCGTCCTACTGACATATTGAAGCATTTTAAGGATTTCAATTGCTGATGATTCGAAACTACAAATTTTGAGACAAATCATAAGACTGTATTTAGGCAATATTATTTTTTGGTTATTCCTTTTACGTTTTTATTTTTAAGGCAAAAGTGAACAGAAGCAATAAATTATTTTACATACACAACTCACGTTTTGATACAATAACAATAAGGCCTTAAATGAGGGAATTCGTCTTGTATACAAGCTGGATCGGAACCATATCGATTTATCCGACTTATTTCTTTTTCACTCACAACAATTTGACTAGAGTTTAAACAATGTCTTACGGTCATCTCGTATTGACCGTTTCCTGGTGACGTAATGAAAGTTATTTGATAGTAATCCTCGTCGTCTTGGGTGTTACCCGATAAATCCGCGACACGTCCATCATGGTCGGAACTCGATTTAAATTTCAGTATATTTGAATTTGTAGCGTATTTAACGGAACGAGTAACACGAAAGAGTTTTAATTTGCTGCATTGTAACCTATGTGGCTCGGTATATGAGTTAATAGTTTCTATAGCTGTAGTCACTGCCTGTTTTATCACGGGATCGGACTGATCTACTTCCAACCATTGCAGACAAGCACACCAGTGAGGTTGGATTCCAGCATCTGCACAGGAACGTTCTTTGGGAATTTCGCGAAAGAGACTAATGCCTCTTCTTTTTGAATCACCAAGTTTAGCACTACTATAGTTCAGTATGTCATGGAATGTTTCGTGAACGTCAAACGGTGTTGTTAATCTCCGCGAATTTTTCCTAAAATTTTGAATGATTTCTGGATATTGTTTTTCGAACCAAGGTGGAAACCTGTAAGCAAAATATGGCATCCGCTCTTCCTCTTTTCCTTGAGCAGTTTGACGAATATCAGCAAATCTGGCACCGTGATCGCTCATCAAGATTAAAATAGTCCTATTAAGAAGGTTCCGATCTTCGAGTGATTTTAGAAACTCCATTGCGTCTTCGTCAACGATTTGAACTTGATTATTATCATTATGGCTAGTTTCACCGTGAAAACCAAACACAAATTTACTTTTCGAACCATACATGTTGAACACATCTCCCAGCCAATTTATAAACGTCTTGTGTCTCGGCACAGATCCTAAACAGTAAGGTCTATTCCTTCCATACATCCTCTCAGCTGAAAGGTAAAACGGTCGCATATTGTGGTCTGTCGGTGTCTCCTTAAAACCAATCATCCGGTACTGAAAAGTTCCTATGGATGCCATGTCTTCTGCCCATGCTGTGACGTATCCAGCTTTTTTAAAGTCTTTCCAAATCCAAGGATGACCATCAACCGGCTGAGCACCATCATGACCACGCCGTGCTTCTGGTAGCTCCTCTTCAGTTTTCCCTGTGAGTATTGGCAATAAAGCTTGTGGTGTACCATCACCCACTATATTGTATCCCTCTAATTCAATACCTTTTAGAGTGTTAAGGAAATAATTTCGAGTTTTGGGCAATTGTCTTATCCACGACATTCGTGACACTGAATCAAATCCGAACATTAAGACATCCAAACCGAGAGCATTTTTCGGCAGTTTTACCTTAGAATGTCTTTCATGGACTGTCTTATTGAAAGATATGCCTGCGTGGATATTAAAGTACCTTTTAGCATTGATTGACACACATGCCACTTTGAAAAAATCCATTACGAGTGCCGAGCCATCTGGCATTGGTTTTATATGCTCCATATGTCGAGCGGTATAGTCACTGGTTCCACGAACCACTGGTGCATATTCACAAGTTATTTTACCATATTTACGAACAGCTCGACGTGAAATTCTAAAAGTTCCATTGACTACGTAAACCCAGTTTTCTTCGGGACTACATGTCACTTTAGGCACAGTTCGATAAAAGTTCATGACTGATTGGTGAAACGGATCAAGTTGCGGATGAACGCAAGTTTGACCAGATTGTTTTTCTAAGCTTTCTTTAAATCTGGCAATAAAACCAGGATCGACTTCCGAGTCCTTGCTGTGATGATTGGTGTCTCTCGGGATGAGGTTTATGAACAAGAGAATTAACGAGCAAATAAAGCACAGCCATAGAGCTTTTCGTCTCTTAGTTCGGTAAATATAACCGGGACACACGTTATAATTTGACATAGTGTTCAATTCCACATAAATATCATCTTTCTAGAATAATATTAAGAATTCAGAAGCTTAGTTTTTCCAGACGTTAATAATATACAGCTCGAAGCTAATATTATTTCTTCGTGAATTCAATGAATACTGATCACGAGTGAGAGTTGTGACGTAATTGGAAAATGTACACACGTTCTGATACGTAAATGTCCATTAGCACAGAAATTTAGAGAAGAAAACAACGAAGCACCATCTATGAATAGTTAAAGTGGATGTGCTCTGCTTGTGTAAACTGGTCATAAGAAAATTCAGTGTAGACACGTTTGAACCTTCTGTAAAACACAAAGGCGTTGCATTGAACCAAATCAGAAACCCGATAATTGTCACTATTTCACACTGCAAATCGGAAACATCGCATTAGATACAAGCTTTAAACCACTTCACGATGCCACCAAATCAATACACATTGGATATCGATCAAAGGGTTAAAATTAAATTACTGTTTCAGTGAAAGAAACCATCTTCCACTGTTGCATTACTGGAGATTACGAAATAAGCATGTGGCGAATCCATTTGAATTGGTCTAATTAGAATCACGCGGTGAAACACATGTAAACATTATCAGGCAATGGGTATACTGTTTACTCCTGAAGATTTCAAACAGAAAATACTGAACCTATCGTTTAATGACTTTCTGAATACCACTGAGATGTGTATTTTATAAGGATAAAATTTTTATTACGCATCGAAGAGAGAAAGGCAAAAACCATTTGTTAAATGTTTTTCACTCGACAAACTTTAACTATTCCCCAAGGAACACATTTCAAACAAGGTGGAAATATTGAAACCTGAATAATTCTTTTTATACTAGCTGCAACAACTTGGCAATAAAATTTCAAACAATTACTTTGTTAAATCGCTTGAAGACATTACAATATATTTAGATTGTTTGCTATTCGCTATCCTCATAAATCTTGTGAGAGATTGTTCCATAATCTAAGAGGATATAGTTTTCAACAAAACAATATTTTTACTCTTAATTTAAGACGTCGAATGCAACTTCAGTACGATTTTATATAAAATTGTAACAGAATACACTATTGCACGCAATGCAAAGTGGTTTTGTTTTTGTAACAGAATTTATCTGCCTGGGTTAAGTAAACTCGTGCAGATGAACGATTAATATAACATTATAAATGATATTTCTTATCTAGGTGAAAGTATGTTGAATATTCTAAGCGAAATGCCAGTAATACTTATAGTTGCATGTTAAAATTTTATAGGTTAATGCATTTTTTGTAAAACACCTTACCACTATACTTTTTACAAAGCATAATGTCACTACACATGTAAAAGCTGTATACATATGTGATACATTTTCCAGACAGTTAAGTTTCTAAATGCTCTTCGACGTTCTTTTACAATGGCTAATGTAAAATCCATTACCGCTATTTTAGTTCACAGTTACACAACATTCACCTTTGGATCATCGAACGCGACACGATCTGTAATTGGAATACTCTAGTATCTCGCACAATCTGTATTTTGGATACTAAAGTATCTTGCACAATCTGTATTTTAAATACTCTAGTATCTCGCACAATCTGTATTTCAAATGCTATGGTATCTCACACAATCTGTATTTTGAATACTATAGAATCCCGCACAATCTGTATTTTGGATACTAAAGTATCTTGCACAATCTGTATTTTAAATACTATGGTATCTGACACAATCTGTATTTTGGATACTAAAGTATCTCGCACAATCTGTATTTTAAATACTATGGTATCTCACACAATCTGTATTTTGGATACTAAAGTATCTCGCACAATCTGTATTTTGAATACTATAGAATCTCGCACAATCTGTATTTTGGATAATAAAGTATCTCGCACAATCTGTATTTTAAATACTATGGTATCTCACACAATCTGTATTTTGGATACTAAAGTATCTCGCACAATCTGTATTTCAAATGCTATGGTATCTCACACAATCTGTATTTTGAATACTATAGAATCTCGCACAATCTGTATTTGGAATACTCTAGTATTTCACACAATCTGTATTTGGAATACTAAAGTTTCTCGCACAATCTGTATTTGGAATACTCTAGTACTTCACACAGTCTGTATTTTGAATACTCTATAATCTGAAACAGTCTGTATTTGGAATACTATACAATCTCACACAATCTGTATTTGGAATACTCTGATATATCTCTCACAATTCAAATAAGGATGCTTTACAGCTCATTAGTGAATAAAATCTCACCTGAGTTTCGACGTTCCACTATATAACTCACTAGCAGTCATTCACCAATCAAATCCAGAATATAAGCGTATCAACTTTCGTTTCTGTATACCCGCCTAAACAAATATTTTGAAATACCTCACCACAGTTTTAAGGTTGTTTGCTCTGAATCGCTAACAATAAACAAAGTCGATTTCTTTTGTATCGTTTAAACACCCACACTCGCAATAGAAATCTCCCATCTTTTGATGTCGACAAATTCAAAATTTTGAAAATTCGTCCTATTTGGTTTTTTGATACTGTTCTTGCACCTCTAAAACGTGGTTGACATTATCCTTTCATGATTTAAGTGTTAGGTTAGAATTGAACCTTTTCGAACTTGCACATAATTGTTTATACAAACTTTCAATAGACACCTCCGTCACATACATTCACGTTGTATTTAAGGACAGTCTGATTACAGTTTCAATATCAGCGAATTTATTAGGTAACACTGATGTACCTTCAAACATACACATTCCATTCTAAATCACGTTGTATTTCAATAAGAACCAACATCTACTTGTTTTCACAATCCACCTTCTATCATAAGTGAAAATATGTATAGTTGATGTATTGCCGAACCTGCCAAAATAAAAGAAATATGTGGAAATACTCAGACAAGGTACTTCTGGTATTAATCATAGAATATTAGTATGGCAGGGTGTCTTATCTACCATCTGTTTAAAACCTACAGTTCATAACACTGCAGGCGTCGACTTATATAGCTCTAATAATTACTTAGATCTCCTTTTATCCCATCTTATCTCCGAGAAATCAACTCCCCGTACAATCTTCTCGTCGGTAACTTTCCTATATGGATTGCCAGGAAATTTCTTGATGATTTGTAAAGGAAATGTTTCACTTCTTTTATCTGAATATAATCTATTTAGTTTCACTATAATAATTTTACTGGATGTACTTTTTTCGTTCTTACCTTGGTCTCATATGGTTTCCATTCATAGTCCATTTGAAGGTGAGGTCATGTCTTTCAAGTGGAAACAGAGTTTAATACTTAACCTTTTAAACTCGTTTATTTGGGACTGTTGTTTCCCGTTGGTGTAATATCAAATTTAATTTTTAGGCCAGGGCGGACTTTGATGTCTGGATGCTTTTTGTGCAATCAGTGCGTTGGAATGCCTTGTCTGAAATACACAAAACACAAAATATCATTATTAAAACGTGTCTAACAATCAATGTTTCAATTTATAATGGGTTACAATTAGGTCTTTATTTCCTAATAAAAACTATTCAGTAATAGTGTCACAGCTCACCATCGATATTTGAGCATTCAAACCCATGTTTGTCTAGAATTATCCGCATTTGAATGTTAAATGACGACTCATCCTTTCTTGAGTCCTGTGTATACAGAAAAGACATATAGAGATAGAAATGTGAAATTTCTAGATTGAGGTATATCTGAAAGGATTATGCGATTTTCGTGCAGATCTAGTAGTTCTGAAGACTATTTACATATATTCGAGACACAAATCAACCCCAAAAGTGGCAAACCATGGCCTTTAAGATCAGGTAAAGTTCAAACAGCCATAAAATAAAGAAGCCAGCTTCCGCCTTGCTGTTATATCTTGAGGTAATAGATCAAAGATCAATAAGAATCTCCTATATCAATGTTAATGAATATAAACATCTCTATGTACACAATATTTATTGAGCTTAAAGCCAAAGTGTAATAACTGATGCGAAGCTGATACGTTGATATCCTGCGTCTAATAACGAGGAACTAATAATCATTGAATTGGAATAAAGGTCGTCAGAATGGTCAATGATTTGATATACTTAAATTTGTTCTTAAAGGTCGCCAGAACCTTTTCAAGACTGCTATTTAAACTTGGAGCCACGTTTCATCTAATTACGTTTCCTTTAACGAAGCATGAAACATTTGGAAAGCAATAGACTCACAATAGAGCAGGAAAAGGATGATTGGAAGTTGTCTAGACAAGGTGAATTGGGTTGTGGAATCAAATATTTCAAACATGTAAGTATGTGAATGGTATACAGTAACTACGTTTCTTAATTGAAAGGTTTTTCAATTTCTTGTTATTTCTCACAGAGGAGGAAACGGGTATAACCACTAGGGGAAGAAAACGCTCGCTATTAAAATTACGGGCCTTTTTTATAGAACAGAATGTAATATTCTAATCTAACTTTGATTGTTTTCTAACTAGATGTTAGGGACAATTAACCGAGACCATTTATTACATATTAAATCCCGAGACCATCTTGGTGTACCTGCGCACCACATTACATTGTCGGCATTCATTCGGACAGGACGTAAAACTCCATTAATCTAAATTTATTGTTTCGTTCCAGAAAAAGTTTCCGACAGGATTTGCAACTAGATTTTGTACGATATAATAAGCATAGCAGAAATAAATGTTTTCTGTAATTTCCTGCAGCTCTGCTTCATTTCATAATCATAAATTGAGAGTAAAGGAACTTCTATAATTAATTAACAGGTTGTGGTGTTTTCTTACTGTTTGATTATTTCTGTTAGGAAATTGTTTGACTTTATTGTACATTAAATCCAGAATATCTTATGAAACATTATCCAGACCAGATTGCATGTTATATGAATTGAGTCAGTCATTAGGTGGCGCGGTAGTGTAGTAAGAAACCCTAGTTATCAATATGGATTAATACATCTTTCATTGAGTTTTTTTTTTATCATTCTATGCCCAGAAAAGCAGAAATCTAGCTTTTAAATCTATACCTCAGTCGCAACCGAGATGTCGAACTTTGCTACAGCGCCATCAAGCGGATTAATTTTGACGGTACCTCATTGAAAAACTGGCTATCAAAATTGACAGTCTTCAACTGACATTGCGTTGAGAATGCCAGCATAGAAACTGATTAGAATTTTCAGGTTATCATAACGCGACATCTTTAAAGACGACCATATCTATTTTCAAGCTGATCTTCCGATAACCATAAATATAATCGGTAAAATACTAGTTATCTTTTGATAAAAATTAAATTGATATTCCTATCAAAGTCACTTGATGAAACAAAGAATCAATTGTACTAATGGGATTTTGGAAATTACAGGGTTAGACTTGGCTGCATTTCTTTGTACAATGTTTCCAACCAATTGGCAATGTATTGTATAACTTGTGTCAATCGATAACTCCATTCGCGCAGATCATTTTAAACTCATTGCGGTCAATTTGTTGACGTAATCACTTTGATAGACAAGTTATGAAAAATTATATGCTACTTTGAGCATTGTAACCGTTCAATAGGTAGTAAATCGTTTTATATGGTTCTTAATTCTCTGTCTCAATGGTCTGTAAGTGAAACAGGATTATTAAATCCAAAGTACTGTAATAAAATTAAATGAAACAGTGTCTCAAGTGATACGCTTCTGCTCCAGATATAGCAAATGAAGGCAAAGTCATTGAGTGCGCAAGGAAATATTTCAGGTTTACGGCATTGTTCCAATCATTTTTTATTCTCAACCAAAAGGAATACAATTTGTGTAATGCGTTATACGAAAAGTCGACCCATATATCCAAAAATAGCTGTCCTGGTGGGGATCTAATATCTGAAACACGTGTCTGCAACATGAGACGAGCACCAGCCATTAACTACATTCTGTAATGTTTATGACAGAATGTTCTAAAAGGTGCATTTTGAGAACTGTTTCAAAGTATATTTTTCTAATAATGTAATGGAGAAAGAAAACAAATTATTTAGACAAATTAGATGTTAAAATCACGTACACGTATCTCGTTTATATCACATGGTATTGATAATTCATGATATATCTGGTTTCTATAGCGAAACGTTCAAAAATAGACCACTTTATCACACGCGAATTGAAAAACATAACACACTTCTTCCACTACGATATTGAACATAACTCCCTTGTTCAACTAACATTCAATTTGTTCGGCTTCGAGAATGTCAGAGCGATGACTAAAGAGCTCTTTTTAAACGACGAAATCTACACACGTAAATATTTTTGGCATTTGTGTTATTTGCATATGTGAGACCTATTTATATCTGTGCAGTAAAAAACTTATATCACTATAATATATTCTAGAGGTGTATTTGCTACCGTGTTCCAACCAAATCATAACATGCTTTCAATCAGTTTAGTATATAGATAACCATGAAGCAGAAAGGAACAAACATCATCAAATTGGTGTGCTCGGGTTGCCTGGCGAATCATCGGATGTGTCGCAGTCTGCATGAGCAAAACGGTCATAACAGATCAATTTCATTCCAACCCTTCCGGTCGTCTATTGATTTAATTAATAAATCTTTAATTTAATGAAGATACGTGGAACTTCGGAGTTCGACTACCTTCCAGATACCACTATTTGCTAATAGTCTATGTTTCTGTCAGTCACAAGCGTATCTAATTTGAATGACTTGGAGAAAATAACTCTGCCCATATCTGAAATTTCTATCTTCAGTGATACTGCGAGTTAATAATTCTACAAATCCTTCAATGAAACGTAATTCTATCGTGCACTTAATGATGTCTCCAGTAATTTTATGAAGGACACTTCATTGTTAGGTACTGGTTCAACTAATCAACCAAACATCTTAAAAAACCTACTACTCTGACTGGACATTATTGATTATCTTCAGAAATAAATCATATTCACATTTTTCTGTTTCTCACGATCTAAACGTGATAATATATTGTAGATCAAAACGACATACAATGTTTTAGATACGACTGCGAAATATGGACTGCTAAGAAATTTAGTGTAAATGTTAAAGCAGTAGGCGACAATACAACTAAGGGATCAAAATTCTTTGCCATGTGGTAACTTTTGGTAAGAGGTAACAAGATGACTCAGCCGTGGATACCCTTGAGGTGTTCTAAA